GCTGGAGCTTCGATGTGTTGCCAAGTTTTAAAGACTATGTCTGGGGTGCAACTCTTTTAGCAAATCATATAACACTGAGCAGCAAACCATGCAGCTAGAAGGGCTGCTGTGACCTTCAATGTTAAACCTACATAACCCACTTGAGTTCTGAGAAAGGAAGAACAGCCCAAGGCCCCACATTTTGCCGAGTGTGTCAACCATCAACAAGAGGAAAAAATGAACACACACTGTCCTCGCACACATGTAAAGCGGGACCTATTCAGACACGTGTGCCCACAGATCATGCTCATGGCGTGATCCTCTTCAGATATGAAGGCGCTGGCAAACATTCCTGCAAAACATGAATATGTTTCACATGCTACGCATGTGAAATTGGAAAGAGCCGGGTCCCCTCCCACGGGAGGTTCAAGTATCTTGGAACTGTTTTGATGAGAGCAGTTCAGTGCAGATGACAGGGATGGGAAACATTCTCCAAAGGCAAGTGGAGTTTGGTGCTGCCAGTGGAGGATGGCTTATTTACTGTTTTTTGTTGTTGTTGTTTGTTTGTTTGTTTTCTTGTACTAAGACTTCATTATAATAGAATGGAATTTCTTATTTCTGGGCAGGTTTCTACATTTCTAGGTTTCAGTCACAGCCAAGAAAAATAAGAGAGATACTAAACAGAAAGATATTCTAGGGCAATAAACTAGAAAATAACTAAGTCATCAAGGTCAAGAGACAGGGAAATTTCAAGGTCTGTCATCCATGTGGATGAGCCAGATGGCTTTGTTTCTAGGTTTGTTCTCATTCTCCTTGATATGTGGTGATTTATGGAAAAGCTACATTAAATGGGAGATCTTTATTTGGAAATGTTCATTTTTATACTATATGATGGACATCCATAGTCTTTCTGTATCTCTAAAAATTACTACTAATCGTTGGAGGAAAACACAGATTCTTTTGTCGGGATGCTCCCAGAAGATAGAATTGGCACTGGTCATCTTTAATTCTGGGCTTTTCTGGTGGTAAAAATGGCCCTCCACTGAGGGGTGGGTGGTCTGTCTGTTTTCTTAAGGCACTGTGAAGCCTGGAATTGGAAGGCATACTCAAGCCAATTTTGAGATATATCACTTTTGGCTCTTGAAAGGCAGGAAAAGTATGAAGTGGCCTCTGGGTTGAACTAACATTCTGCTGAGGGTCATTCCAGTGCTCAGCACTGCATCCACCTGTGCTGATGTGAGGCGCCTAGAATCCTGAGACAGCGATTCCCATACAGCACAGACAGTGCAGGCAACCAAGAAACACTAACTACCATTACTGTGGCTGTTCCTGTTGCTAGTGTTTCTGGGGCTAAATATACAGTATTCTTCCTTGTTTTTAAAGAGTACCTGACTGTCACATCATACATTTTTCTTAAAACCTTAATTTAATTTCATGACTTCAAGAGTAAGAACATATTTTTATTTTTAATTTTTTTTTTTTTTTTTTGAGACAAGGTCTCACTCTGTTGCCCAAGCAGCAGTGCAGTGGCACGATCATGGCTCACTACAGCCTTGATCTCCTGGGCTCAAGTAATCCTCCCACCTCAGCCTCCCCAGGAGCTGACACTATGGGCATGCGCCACCATGCCAAGCTAATTGTTTTTTGTATTTTTTGTAGAGATGGGTTTCACCATGTTACTCAGGCTGGTCTCAAATTCATGAGCGCAAGCAATCCTCCTGCCTCAGCCTCCCAAAGTGCAGGGATTACAGGCATGAGCCATCATACCTGCCTCAAATATCTTTTTAAATCGACACAAAATATCTACTACTGGACATTTTTGTTTCTGTTCCATTCTTCTCCCAAAGACTTCAATTAATTAGCAATGCAGTCAGTATCATACAAAATTTTCTTTTATTTAAATGGCACACACTTCAAGAGCCGTATATTTTTATAGACACTATATACATATATGCTATATACATATCTGTATATACACACATCATGTATATTTGTAATTTGCTTTTATGTAAGATTAACATACACGGACACACATTATCTCACCCACTGTGTACCTATACTTTGTCATCCTGAATAGCTAAAAAGTAGCAATTTAAAAAGGATCTTGCATTCTATTGTTTTTATGTTTAGAAAACAATATGGCAAGTTAAGAAAGTTTATTTTTAAAAATTGGGCCTGTATGCCGTTCAAAGTTCCTAAGTTTAATTTCAAATTGGAATTTGACTTTAAGTTTTCAATGATAAACAATCCTCTCGTATCTCTGGAGAGTTGCAACCACATCTGACTCAGTAGCTCTAGAAATGGGGGAAGGCAGTATTAGAGGATTCATTTTCCCTCTCTGGTTGTATGATTTAGAGTGACAAAAGACAATAATTTTTATTTAGCTCTTAAGTACTGAAATCAAGAAGGAGGTTAAGACTTTTTATTTATACCACTTTGTAAATTATTATTTCTGAGTATGGGTTTAAACTGAACTCCAGCTGGAGTCTCTCTCTATAGTTCCAAGCCTCCCAGAATGAAACGTTTTAAATATTATCTTGGCTGGGGTGGTGTGAGGAGTAACCAAGACAGTGCCTCTGGGTGACACACAGCTTTAACTTCAACCTCAAAAATTCCATTACTCCCATGGCGACGAGCGGAGGGGAGAATTGCGAACTGCTATTTATGGCTTCTTTTAAATAGTTTATTTCAATCACAAAAGTTACAGTTTTATAAAGGCAGGGGAGGAAGGAGAAAGAATGAATTCAGAAAGATCACATGCACTACAAAGCCTGAGCTCACTCTGAGAAAGGGTTAATAAGATTTCAGATTCTTCACATTTTATGAAGCCTATAGTAGAGATGGTTGCTGGCCTGCCGGGTAACAGTGCCTGTTTTTTGTTTTTTTTTGTTTTTTTTTTTTTTTTAAATAGTGGTCTACTCTGTTTTGATTCATATGGAAAAGTAAAGGCTTCGGCCAGATGCGGTGGCTCACACTTGTAGTCCCAGCACTTTGGGAGGCTGAGGCGGGTGGATGGCTTGAGTAACATTTCAACAAAATGATTTTACACATGCTTGGAGCTCTAGTACAACTGTCCCTTGATATCTATGGGGGACTTACTCCAAAATACCAGAGAATACCAAAATCCACAATGCTCAAGTCTCTTCCACAAAATAGGGTGGCATCTGCATATAACCTATGCACATCCTCTCGTATATTCTAAATCATCTTGAGGTACTTAGAATGCCTAACACAATGTCAATGCCATGTAAATAGTTGCTATACTGTATTGTTTTGCAATTTTTGTTTTTTTATAGTTGTATTGCTATTTTTTAAAAAAATATTTTGATGGTGTGGTTGAATCCGTAGATGTGGAGGCCGCAGATGGAGGGCTGACTGTGCCTCTCATGCATCCTGCTCATCTGACCCATCCAATATCCACGGGAGGATGACTGCCAGGAAGGGAGCCTTAGTGACCAGGCTGAGGGGCATGCAGGGAGCTGGGAGCTTAGAGAAGTGGGGCAGAGTCGATGGCGAGGGGGCGTCGGAAACAGTAAACTTATAGTTCCAGTCAAATCCTAAAACCATCTGATACCAGTCACAAGACACAATCTATGAAATGCATCAACAAAGAAGCTCTAAGAGAGAAACTCTACCCTTCCCATTCTATTTTCCTACTCTTAAAGGTGGAAAGCACAGAATTATTTAGTGGTGAACATTTTGGGGAAAATCATGTCTGATGACTGACTCCACAAATGGTTTCTCTATAAAGAATTTCAAGTTTTTAAAGGAAGGCACCAGAATCGGTTTTATAATAATCTTTCAATTATTCAATGTAATAAAAAATGTTTGTTATACTAAGTGAAAAGGAAGAAAACATGCTTTCTGCACTCATGAGCTTATACTTTAGATCAGTGAATGGAACAATGGTTCCCATCATTAGATTATTTAAAAGAAAAAAAGAAGAAAGGAAATTAAATGTTAAGTATCTGGAGTTACATATATACAATGACTTTAAAAGCATAGCTTAACTCCTCTTTAAGACACTCCTCTGACCAACCAGAAACCCTGTTTTACATATGAGGAAATTAGGGTCCCAAAAGGTTAAGCAACTTTCCTAGAACCAAGGCTATAAAGCAGAGGGCAGGCTTCCCTGGCTCCAAGCCCAAAGGCTCTTCCCACGTACTGAGTTGTCTTGCAGTTATACACAATTATATAATTTTACTGCCATAGACAGGGATAGCTATACCAAAGGCGGTGAAATGAGCTTCCTCCTTCTCTTGTGTTTCAGTGAATGCTAAAATCAGTCAGCATGATCATCATCCTTAGTAACTGAGGGAGAAAAGAACCAGCCCATGGCACGTTAGGTGATAAATGGGCCAAGGTGGGATTAAAAGTTTGCTTGATACATGAAATGACAAAATTGTGAAAAATGCATACACGTTAGGAAAAATTTAATAAGTTGAACGAACTTAATAAGGAGGAAGGTGGGGAAGATCCCACAGAATGTGGAACTGAGTGGTGATTCTGTAGGTTAAGAGGTGCTCCTCTCCTTATACACTGTCTTAGAGCATCTTCTCAAGTCTATGTGGAGAAAACAAAAGTCTAGAATGTGAGAGAAATAGTGATGCTTCTTTGTATCAAATTATCATTTCCTGCACTGCATGGTCAGAGTTGCAGCTGGGTGGGAGAGACACAACCCCACAGTGGCAGCACCCAGCAGTCAGTGGCTGCCCTCACCACCCTCTGTGCCCGCCACGACATGAACTTCTAGAGGAACGCAGAAGCAACCAGTAGCCTGTCTCCCTCCTTTACGTGATGTGACTAAGTTGCCAGATTTTGCATCAGAATAAAATCACCCTGTATTTTCCTGCTAATGATTAAAAAAAAAAGCAAGATTCCAAAAGGAAGGCAAGGTAAAAGTCTTTTAATAGATTTTTTTTTTTTTTTTTTTTAAAGATAGGGAAGACATGACAAATATTTAGGAATCAGGTTTCCGGTCATTTGACTAATGACTGCCTTCTAACACTGTTCTTTTCTAGCTTGAGAATTATATCCAGGACAACATGAAAAAAGAAATGGTAGAGATACAGCAGAACGCAGTACAGAACCAGACGGCTGTGATGATAGAAATAGGGACGAACCTGTTGAACCAAACGGCGGAGCAAACGCGGAAGTTAACTGATGTGGAAGCCCAAGTAAGTAATGCCACATACAGCACACGGTGTCCCCGCAGCTAGAGACTAGCACTTGGTCATGTCAGGAGCTTCCTCAATGAAGGATGAGAAACTAAAGAAAGCACCACCAAAGGAGAAAAGGAATGAACTGATAAGAAATCAAGGATGTATGGCTGGTTATGAATTTAAAATCAGTAAATGTTTTTGTTTTTCATACTGAGGTTAAATTTCATGTGTTCTATCTACTGAAGACATCTGAGTCATTTTCATGCCACGCATCCCTGACTGCTGCAAGAGGAATACCCGCTGTGTCTCCCTGGTGCTTTCTGGACTCTGGGGATCATTTTCCATTTCTAAGTCCTAAAGTCTTTAAACAGTTGAGAAATGAAAAGCACTGAGGCAGAGAGCTAGAAACTCTAGCCTTAAATCTAACTCTTGAGTTAAGATAAAACCTGAATCTCAACCGATAACACAACCTGCAGAATGAGTTTATGGAGAAGGAGACGAGTGGGACAGTGAGAGGCGTCCGGCCACAGAAAAGATAGTGTATGCCCGAGCAAGAGCCTGGAGCGCTGCCACGGCTTCAGGTCCGCCACCAACCAAATAAATGCATCACAACAAGGCACTCACCTTTTCTGGGCCTCAAATAAGATAAAGGACTGGGCCAGACAAGTGATTGCTAAGTTCTCTTTCCACTGAGATTCTATGAGCTAGTGATTAATAGTAACAGAAAGAAGACTATGAAATAGTAAACTTGTGGCCAGGTGCAGTGGCTCATGTCTGTAATCCCAGCAGTTTGGGAGGCCAAGACAGGTGGATCACCTCAGGTCAGGAGTTCGACACCAGCCTGGCCAACATGGCGAAATCCTGTCTCTACTAAAAAATACAAAAAAATTAGCTAGGCGTGGTGGCGGGCATCTGCAATCGCAGCTACTTGGGAGGCTGAGGCAGGAGAATTCTTTGAACCCAGGAGGCAGAGATTGCAGTGAGTTGAGATCGTGCCACTGCACTCCAGCCTGGGCAACAGAGTGAGACTCCAACTCAAAAAAGAAAGCAAGAGAGAGAGAGAGAGATTGAGGGAGGGAGGGAGGGAGGAAGGAACGAAGGAACAAAGGAACGAACTAGTAAAATAACAGCAAAATAGGAACATTTCAAAAGAAGAAAATTCACCCAGAGTCATGCTAAACGACATACAACATGTGACCCAGCGAACAGCCGGGGTGGGAAAGGGAAAAGCTGCTATTAGCAGCACAAATGCAGATGCTCCAAGTTCAAGGCTGTGGTCGTGACTCTCGGCGGCCAAGCCTGCTTTCTGACTCTTCATCCTGGCTTCTTTACAGGCTTTTGAAGTTAGTGTCTTCCTACTCTGGGCTATAAGGAATGCTTTTTTAAAAAAGAGCAGATTTAAGTGAAACCATCCCCACTCCATATTATTCCTATATGCTACCTCAGCTAAAAGGATCAAGAAATGCTAGATGTCAGCTAGGAGAGGACATGAGAGGGGAGATGCCATCAGCCCCGCCACTCTGGTGAGACCCATTCTAGAAGGGCACAGCTGTTCTTTCATTGTCTTCCTAAAAATCATTGGATGAGGTAAGAGAAAACAGTAGCAAAATGATAGACAAACAAAAGACTTCTAGATAAGAGCATAGAATAACAAATTACTTGATTACCAGGCCTTTCCACAATATCAGAACAGTTCAGGAAAAACAGACATAAATATTTTACATAATGGATCATAAGGCACTAAAAAGTTAATCCTAGGAAGTTATAAAAATTAAAGATTTAAAAGTCAATATATCAATATACATCCACAATCAATTATTATTAGGTTGGACCAAAAGTAACCGGAGTTTTTGCCATTACTTTTTTTTTTGAGATGGAGTCTCACTCTGTTGCCCACGTTGGAGTGCAGTGGTGTGATCTCGGCTTACTGCAACCTCTGCCTCCCGAGTTTAAGCAATTCTCGTGCCTCAGCCTTCCGAGTAGCTGGGATTACAGGTGCCCGCCACCACGCCCGGCTAATTTTTTGTATTTTTAGTAGAGACAGGGTTTCACCATGTTGGCCAAACTGGTCTCAAACTCCTGACCTCAGGTCATCCACTCGCCTTGGCCTCCCAAACTGCTGGGATTATAGGCGTCAGCCACCATGCCTGGCCACTATTACTTACAATGGCAAAATTGCACCAACCTATTAAAATAAATTAGCAATGATTAAGTCACTTGCCCCACCTTTCGTTAGTAAGACTGATGGGCAGTTTAATAGCTCATCCAAAAAATGTCCCATAAGCATTTAAAAAATGTAACATTTCTTATATTTTAAAATAATAGTTAGATCCAAGCATGGGAGCTTGGCAAAAATTTTAAAAAGTAAAATAAAATAATAGTAATGAAAAGGTGTTAGGACAGAGCAGCAATGCAAACCTTGCTACATCCTATAGAGGTCAGAGACTTCATAGCATTTAATGTGCTTGTGTTGGGTCACGTGATTAAAAAATGCCTATTGTGAAACTAGATATCATGTTATCCAGGATTATAGGAAAATAAGAAAACAGATGGAAAGTAAACGGCTTTTCCATGTAAAGCCCAACTGAACACATGAAAATGGCGGAGCCAGCTGGGCGCGCTTGCTCAGATCTATAATCCTAGCACTTTGGGAGGCCAAGGTGGGTGGATCGCTTGAGCTCAGGAGTTCAAGACCAGCCTGAGCAATAAACCCTATCTCTACCAAAAATACAGAAATACAAAAAAAAAAAAAAAAATTAGCCGGGCGTGCTGGTGTGCACTGTAGTCCCTGTTCCGTGGGAGGTTTAGTGAGGCACAAGAATTGCTTGAGCCTGGGAGGCAGAGTCTGTAGTAAATGGAGATGGTGCCACCACACTCCAGCCTGGGCAACAGAGTGAGACCCTGTCTCAAAAAAACGGCTGAGCTTAAGGAAGGCCACAGAGACTGAATTATGTATCCACTCCGTTTGAAGGCATTTGCTGAGCAGTTACTGATTTTGTGAAATAGACTTAAATTCAAATATGAAAATTTCTGATTAGAAGCAAGGTTCTCCAAGCCCATCAGAATGAGAGACGATCGAATTGAGCATGATGCGTGGCTAGAGGTCTCATATCTTAAAGGGAATGGCAGATCATTAGCTGGCCTGGGTAATTTAGAGAGTCCCCTGCAGATGGAGGCCTTCAGGCTGTTCCAGCGGTTTGATGCTCTCCAGAAAAGTGATGTGAAAAACAGTTACGATTACTATTAGGCCAATCACGACTTATATGCCACCCTTCCCTGCCTCCCCACCAAATTTTACTCATTTTATAACCCTTATGAATTAAATAGGAGACACAATTTTCCAGTTCCTTTTAGAAATAACCAACATAGAATGTTTGGACCCAAAGAAGACACAGGTCAAATCTATATTCCAGGTGTTAATACTGAAACCCAAACAAAACCTTACACTGGCCAAGGACTTTATTCTCACAGAAGACTTTTCGTGATAAGAACTAAACCAGCTCTAAGGATAAGCCCATCCCTGAAAGCCATGCTGCGGCCCAGCCAAGGCTCCTGGAAATGACATAAAGACACTAGCTAACAATGATTCTTTCAAGGTCCCCGGTTCCTTGGCAACAATGCTGACTGACATTTGCATGTGCTATCACATCCGGAATAAGCATGACATGGAGGAAGTGAGTAATCGATTCTTCCTGCCGAGGGGCAGCCAGGCACTAGAGAATCCATGGGACAGTGGCACTGGTCATGCCGCACAGTAGGTCACAAAAGCCCGCACAGCAAGGCTGAGGCTCTGCTTCATACTGATGCTATATGGCTTCGATTGGTTCAAACAAATTTTAAAACAGGAAAGAGAAATGGCAAGAAGAAATAAAAGTCTAAATAAGTGGTGACAAATGAGGAAACGCCAGGCTAAAAATTATCTATATCTTCATACAATGGAAGCATGTGACTTCCAATCTCTCTGTCTACTGACAAATACATATGAGAATAGCATTTTGTTTTCAGCAAAGGGAAAATACTTCTGACCTATAAAATATGACCATTTTATACTCCTACCTGTCTCATTGTGTAAAATAGAATATGGCAGACTAGAAAAATAACATTCATTATTTGACACAAACCCCATTGTCCAGAACTACTAACCATTTTTCAAAATAGAGACATAACGGCCAGGTGCAGTGGATAATGCCTGTAATCCCAGCACTTTGGGAGGCCGAGGCAGGTGAATCACTTGAGGTCAGGACTTCGAGACTAGCCTGGGCAAAATCGTGAAACCCCATCTGTACCAAAAATATAAAAAATTAGCCGGGTACAGTGGTATGCACCTGTAATCCCAGCTACTGGGGAGACTGAGGCAGGAGAATCGCTTGAACCCGGGAGGTGGAGGTTGCAGTGAGCCGAGATCATGCCACAGCACTCCAGCCTGGGCAATGGAGCGAGACTCTATCTCAAAATAAATAAATAAATAAATAAAAAATAGAGACATGTAAGGAAAAGAGTAAAAAGGTTTAACACACTGAGATGTGATCTTAAGACACTGAGCCTTTTCTGAAAATGAAAAATATGCCAAAATAAGATACTTGGGTTAATAAATAATGTTTTGGTTATGTTTCCTCTAGCTTGGGTACTTTAATGAAAAGGAAGTTAGAAAGTTAAACTAATTAAAACATAATTAATAGGAACTTCATTTTGTTACATTTAGGTATTAAACCAGACCACAAGACTTGAACTTCAGCTCTTGGAACACTCCCTCTCGACAAACAAATTGGAAAAACAGATTTTGGACCAGACCAGTGAAATAAACAAATTGCAAGATAAGAACAGGTAATAACAGTACTAAAACATTTACAGTTCAGAATCGTACACTTTCCAGATACGAATGTCAGTCTCAAATGATGAATTATCAGAATGCTGAGTTTCTTCATGTCTAGTGTAAGGGTCAGAAACCTCATGAGGGAGGAGAAGGGAGAGGGCTTGGAGAAAATTCTTGCACAGGCACAGATCTCCTAACACAGTCCTGGATTTTACCTTTCATTCTCTGGCCCCTTAAAGATCCTCTTACAGTAATCCTCCAAGCCCTGCCTCAGTATTATACATGCTAATCCATTTAAAAAATATAGCTAGTGTTGTGGAGTGAAAGGACCACTGGCCCAAGCGTTTTATTTCAGTATTAACTTGACCAAGATCCTTTGCCCTTGGGGACTTAGCTTCGTTCAATGCAGAATGATCTACAGTATGAAAGATACACTTATACTGTAAGCCAACGCACATTTTATGATCCAATGCTTCCTCTCCGAACACATGATAAAGTAAAACCAAAAATTATTATTAAACATGATTATATTAATATTTAAATAAAATATAGCAAAATCTCAAGATTAACAATAGAAAAAAAATTGTAGGTGATAGGTGGGGACTGTTTTCATAGGTCTGTTCCTCTTGGGACATAAGAGGATAACTTTACGCACATACCTGGCGTGCCTATTTCCCTGTTTTTAATCAAGACATGTATATACAACATGGAACATGGCTATAACAATATATCCTATTGGACAATTGAAACAATTCTTTATTCTTAACCAAAAATGATAAACTTCTTGTTCAATAATTGTTCTTTACTGTTAATCAAGAACTAAGCTGAAATAATTCTTTCTGTTCTTTGGATATCAAGTTTAAGTTGATTTAGGGTTTTGAAAAGCAAATCGATTTTTAAAATTCAAACATTTTTCTTTCATGTTTCAGATTTCTCCTCTACAAAGAGTAAATGAACATTTGAGACGAATCATTGAGATATAACAATCGGGCTAATTTCATTTTCTTTTCTGTTTTTCTTTTGAGACAGGGTCTCACTCTGGTGGCCCTGGCTGGAGTGCAGTCGTGCCATCTCAGCTTACTGCATCCTCCATCTCCTGGGCTCAGGTGATTCTCCCATGTCAGCCTCCTGAGTAGCTGGGACTACAGGCATGTGTCACACACCCAGCTGATTTTCTGTATTTTTTTTTTTTTTTTTTTTTAGTAGAGATGAGGTTTTGCCATGTTGCCCAGGCTGGTCTCAAACTCCTGAATTCAAGCAGTCTGCCCGCGGCAGCCTCCTAAAGTGCTGGGATTACAGGCGTGAGCCACCGTACCCGGCCTCATTTTCTTAAAATAGTTTTACTTAGTAATGTTCTCTCCAACATGCTGCAGTGATTCCCGGAACACATGGGAGCTGGAGATTACTTTTCTCTTGCCTGTTATACAGTGATGTTCGTGACAAACCTAGGATATGTCCAGTTTGTAGAACATACCCTAATACTGAATACTGTTTCCCCAATTGGGTTTCAAATTTAGCACGCCACAATGTGAAAACTACCAATTTGGGTCAATTATGTCCCCCAAACATCATCTTTGCAAATATTTGTCCAATCATATTGACTTTCAACTATGCCTGTAGGAAGAATAAGCTTTTTCTCACAGCTGTAGAAACCATATTCTCTTTCATCACAGATACAAAATGAAATAAAAAGGTTTTTTTCATCAACAGCTATAAATAATTAAAAAAGAAAATAGTGTTGATGATTTTACAGGTATATGAGTTCTGTATGCTGTGTTTTCTCCCTTAAATTCTGATTGGCCTATGATTTTATTTGCAAGAATATCATTACAAAAATATGCAAATGGTATTTCACATTGGACAAACCACATTTTAAATAATCTTTTATAATTCCCCAAAAGAGCAATTGCTTTCTTTATAAAATAGATTCCAGCCAGGCACAGTGGCTCATGCCTGTAATGCCAGCACTTTGGGAAGCCAAACTGGTAGGATTTCTTGAGGCCAGGAGTTTGAGACCAGCCAGGGCAACATAATGAGAACTCATTTCTACAAAAAATAAAAAAATTAGCCAGGTGTCATGGCACACACCTGTAATCCCTATTTGGGTGGCTGAGGCAGGCGGATCACTTGAGCCCAGGAGTTTGATACCAACCTGGGCAACAAAGAGAGACCCCCATCTCTCCAAAATTACATCCTGATTTACAATGATCAGGGGGCTGGAATACATTTAAGAGCTACAACTGAATATCTAATAATAATTATTAATACTGATTGTTATTGCTTATGGGTGAAATATGTAATGGGTAGGCAGTTCCTTGGCTGGTTAATATTGTTTACAGGGTTAAAGGTTCAGAAAACGTTACTGTCAAAAAAAGGTGGATTTACAGATCATTTGAACTAAAAGGGGCCCGAGAGGTCATCAAATCGAATGCCTTCATTTTACATAGAGCTTTATTTAGATAGATATGCACCGAGACAGACATGCCTCTGAGGTCCACAGCAGGGTGGCTGCCCATGTGACACAGGCAGAAATGTGCAGAGGTGGGATTCCCAGCCCAAGGCTCCCTCCTTTCGCCTGAAGGTGCTCATGACACCAAAGGTGACTTCTCACGGTCTCCATTTTCTCTTCAGTGAAACCGTGATCTTCATATGTATTCCCTGTGATAACTTCTATTTACAGAACTTACATGGCCACAAGGGTAGTTTTTCCTCAAGGGAGAGATTAATAGCCTCGTCTTTTTAGCTTGATGATGTGAAGACCATCAAAACATCTAAATTTCCACAGTCTTAAGACTATGGTTCATAATGCTTTCATTTCTTGATTTTTCTCCAAAACCCTAAAAAACACCTTGTACATGGTAGGTGTTCAGTACCTCTCTGTTAAAGATAAACGGAAGGTAAGACATGATCTGAACCCAACTATCCCTCAGTGAAACGTGCCTGTCAATTTCACATGCTTTCGGTTCCTAGGAAAGTAAGTGCAAAGTGATTCCGGAGGCTTCAGATAATTCACAGTAGTGTTAAATGGCCGGTTCAAGGTTTCTTTATCAACTAAGTGGGAAAATAATTTTTCTCTGCTCTTCATATGCCGTTTCAGAAAAGCTAGTGAAATGCATAGAACATTGTTAGTAGAATGTATAGTTAGTAGAAAAGTTAGTGAAATGTATAGAACATTCACTTGTTAGTAGCCAGAACATAATTCTGAAACATAAAGATGCCATCATTGATATATTTCATTATTAAATAAGAGAGCTGACTTATACGGGACTCAAAAAAAGGGAATATGAGGTCCCCTTCCTTTAAAACAAAACCTTGCAATATGCAAATTCGTGTGTAATAAACTTTATATTGGAAGGAAAATGTCCAAGAGAGGAATCTGACATCTGGTCACTGTTTTACTATTTTTAAAAGTGTCTATATTTTGAAAGCTTTATTTACTGGCCTTGTACAAACAAAGTGAAGATACTGAAACATCTTTAGTTGCTGCTTTTCCTGCAGTGATCACAGAAAGCCTCTTTAGGTGCTGAATAATATAGTGTCAGGCTATCCAATTTTCCTCTTCTACCTTATTAAAAAAAAAGAAAAAAATGCTGGCCAGGCACGGTGGCTCACGCCTGTAATCCCAGCACTTTGGGAGGCCGAGGTGGACATCTCAGGAAGTCAGGAGTTCGAGACCAGCCTGGCCAACATAATGAAACCACATCTCTACTAAAAATACAGAAAATTAGCTGGGCCTGGTAGTGCGCCTGTAATCCTAACTACTTGGGGGGCCGAAGCAGAACTGTTTGAACCTGGGAGGTAGAGGTTGCAGCCAGCCGAGATTGTGCCACTGCACAACAGCCCAGGCAACAGCGCGAGACTCTGTCTCAAAAAAAAAACCAAAAAAGAACCTGCCAAGTACCTTGACTATGTATGTCTTTGAGTTTGTTCCTGGGAAACAGTTAACATTCTCAAATACATGGCCTCTACTCTCTTGGATTTGTTTCCTCTGGCTTAATGGACAGGAACTATTTTTAGTTTAAAAGTGGTATGCTCTTCATTGAACATATTTATAGTGACGTATGTTTATAAGTTGAAATTAGAAAGGCAAACTATATAACCATTAACAAAATATCTTAGGACTTACATGGCATAATTTTACCAGCTCTCTAAATAATGTTTAAAAAGCTTTTCGGCCAGGTGCGGTGGCTCACGCCTGTAATCCCAGCACTTTGGGAGGCAGAGGCAGGCGGATCCTGAGGTCAGGAGATCGAGACTATCCTGGCTAACATGGTGAAAGCCTGTCTCTACTAAAAACACAAAAAATTAGCCTGGCATGGTAACATGCACCTGTAGTCCCAGCTACTTGGGAGACCGAGGCAGGAAAATCGCTTGAACCCGGGAGGTGGGGGTTGCAGTGAGCCGAGATGGTGCCCTTGTACTCCAGTCTGGGTGACAGAGCGAGACTCCAACTCAAAAAAAAGGAAAAAAAAAAAAAAAAAAAAAAAAGGAAAGGAAAAAAAAGCTTTCCAAGGGCCCAGCTCACATGTTAACTATTAGGTGTTAAGTACATGCGATAGTGCTGGTTAGATTTTTTAGAGAAGGAAGCGGGCCACATTAAAAGAAGGAGAGAAGCAGATTTCAGAGTCAGAAAGTTCTGGGATTGGATTCTGCCCCTGCCACCTGCTGTGTGTGACTTTAGGAATGTGATTCATTGTCTCTACGTTTCTTTTCTTTTTTTGGAGACGATGTCTCGCTCTGTCGCCCAGGCTGGACTACAATGGCATAATCTCAGCTCACTGCAACTCCACCTCCGGGGTTCAAGCAGTTCTCCTGCCTCAGCCTCCCGAGTAGCTGGGATTACATTCATGCACCACCACACTTAGCTAATGTTTCTATTTTTAGTAGAGACAGGGTTTCTCCATGCTGGCCAGCCTGGTCTCGAGCTCCTAGCCTCAAGTGATCCACCTGCCTCAGCCTCCCAAAGTGCTGGGATTACAGGCGTGAGCGACTGAGCCCGGCCCTCAATGTCTCTAAGTTTCAATTTCCTCATTGGAAATGGGGATAATAATGTTAATATTAATTTTAACAAACATCCATTGAGTGTTACTGTGTGGCAGGAGCTAGTCTAAGTATTTACATTTTAAAACTCATTTGTTCCTCAGACCAACCCCATGACCTAAGTAATATTATCCTAATTTACAGGTGAGGACATTAATGCATAGGATGACTAAGTAAACTGTTCCAAGTCGCAGGGCTGGTAAGCCAGGACTTGAGTCTGAGAGAAGTATTCACCTCCTGATGAAGGAGTATTTCTCACATAGCATTAAGTGCTATTATTATCATTAGGATTAATATTAAAATATAAATAGTTTAGGAGACAGCTAATATCCTACCCAAGGGTCCAGCCCCGTTGAAACTCTCCCTTCTCAAAAAAGCACATCATGAGCACTAAGCTTGAAAGAGCAGCACCCTTCTTCTGAACGCTTGGCATCTAATACATGTATCACCTATGTCCCACCTATCCTGGGCCAGATGGGGTACCTTTTCTTGTGTGTATGCATAAGTCTGCATGTACATACATACATGCTTATATGTTTACATATATACACACATTTATATATCTAATCTTCTCAGCAAGTTTCAGAGATTCCTTAGGGCTCTGGTAACATCTTATTACTTTATAACCACCACAATATCTTAACAGAGTGCCTTGGAGAAGTAGAAATTCAATAAATATAAAATATTTCATTAGAATAGCCTTCACTAACTAACAATTCTTTTCCCTACAAGTTTCCTAGAAAAGAAGGTGCTAGCTATGGAAGACAAGCACATCATCCAACTACAGTCAATCAAAGAAGAGAAAGATCAGCTGCAGGTGTTAGTATCCAAGCAAAATTCCATCATTGAAGAACTAGAAAAAAAAATAGTGACTGCCACGGTGAATAATTCAGTTCTTCAAAAGCAGCAACATGATCTCATGGAGACAGTTAATAACTTACTGACTATGATGTCCACATCAAACTGTAAGTTTACATATCATGTTTTCTTCAGCTTTAATAACCTTTAGTCAGTAAAACTCTCAAAAGACTAAAAAATTTATCTTTCAGAAAAGGCACTATTTCTCATATATTTCATGTGAAATATCTGCCAATTAAAATGAAGGAAGAAGAGAAGAGGAAATATATGTTATACTAATTATTATGAAGGAAACACCCCAAACATACTTTGGATTCATAGCAGTAAAGAGCCTACTTTTAGTTAGTTCCATCACTAATTAGAAGGATAAGACTAGGCAAATTACTAAACCACAGTGGATATTAATTTATTTAGGTTTTACTTGGGAAAAATAATATCAGACCCATGGGGTGGCAATTAAGATTAAATGAGATAATACTCCCAGTGAGTGGCATAAACTGGCACTTAAGAGATACTAGTTCCCTTATCTTGCCAGGTTCTTAAGCACATTTTGCCTTCCTTATTATTGTTTTACTTTGCAGCTTCTCTTACATATTGGAGGGAGGGGCCAGGTGTGGTGGTTCATGCCTGTAATTCCAGCACTTTGGGAGGCTGAGGCAGGAAGATCACTTGAGGTCAGGAGTTCAAGACCAGCCTGGCCAACATGGTGAAACACAGTCTCTACTAAAAATACAAAAATTAGCTGGGCGTGGTGGTGGGCACCTGCAATCCCAGCTACTCGGGAGGCTGAGGCAGGAGAATCACTTAAACCTGGGAGGGAGGAGGTTGCAGTGAGCTGAGATTGTGCCACTGCACCGCACCATGTCCTCAGTGGGATAATGGCCTGAAGGGACAGGCAATGGGGTCGTGATACAGATAACAGTGTTTAGGGACATTCTTTTTAAATTCTTCCATACTAAGTTTACCCTATTCTGTTCAAGATGAAAGATCTTCAAAAAGTAATAATTTAATTTATGTGACTGTGAAGTATTTTCATTACATATAATTGATGATCAACAAAGGAAGTTTGGATTATTTGAAGTATTTTAATTACATGGAATTAATGACCAAAAAGTAAGTGTTAATCTTTTCAGAATTAATAAGAAAACAGTCTGAAAGCAAACTTTCTAGAAAGGTTAAAAAAGTGGCACAGCCTTTTGCTTACTTAAGAATTCCAAAGTAATAAAACTCTCCAAACGATTGGGTCTTGAAATAACAAGTCTTTGTCTTTTCGTGAACTCCGTTTAAATGCCTTACTATTTTTTAAAAGCAGCTAAGGACCCCACTGTTGCTAAGGAAGAACAAATCAGCTTCAGAGACTGTGCTGAAGTGTTCAAATCAGGACACACCACGAATGGCGTCTACACGTTAACACTCCCCAACTCTACAGAAGAGGTCAAGGTGAGGTGTTCGTCTCCCCTTACTGACTCCCGGGCTCTAGCAGGCCGCTTTAGAGAGTGAGGAACCAAACAGCAGAAGTCTCTCCCCCAAGATCTTCCCTGCCCCACACAGTACAAAGCCATAGTTACTGGGCAGCTACTTCACCTAGAGCGCTTGCCAAGGGCTCTAAGTTCCGTTGCTGTGCAGGAAATACAGACGCTGCATATGAACGACATAGAACTGCCCATCTTATCTTCGGCAAGAAATATGTTCTCCTTGCATTTTGCTTGAATAACACATACTATCAGCTGTTTTTCCTGAGGTGTCAGACTCATTTCATTAATTTTAAAGAAAGTATCTTCCAAAAACTGAAGTTCGAATAACCATAGAGCATCAGCCATAGAGGTTTCATGAAATTAATAATTTCTATTGCCATGCCAAAGTCATTTTTCAGTGATATGAGTGTTCTTTTTCATGAGTGACTGCATAGTGACTTGTACAGTTTGCTACCGCTGCCCTGCCTCACGCGAGGATGGCAGTTTTACCCACCGTGGTTTTTGCTCTAGCTGAGCAGACGCTAACACAGTGCCACAGACCAGCGGTGTCAGCATCGTGAAAACAGTTTCAACCAGTGGACTTGCTGACATGGTCTCGGGGACACGCAGGATTCTGAGGTCCACACCATGAGAACCTCTGGGGCAGGCGATTCTAACCTCATCTAACGCAGTCTGGAAGACTCGAAACACACCATAAAGACGGCGTTCATTTTCTTCTCAAGCAGGGAGTTCGCTTCAAGGCATATGTTCAATTATTGCTTGTATTGTGAGTTGACTGCAGGTACTCACGACAGGCAAAGCCACAACACAGCTTACCTCAGTCATTCCTAGTTCTGCAGCCTCACTCAGAGAGCCTGTCTCCTGAAGGTGTTTTGGGAGATACTGAATTTTAGATGAGAAAAAAAAAAAAATCACTTTTGGAGAATATTTCAATGTGGCTTCTCTTAAACATTTGATAGAGCAGAATGATATTACATGAGAATCAGTGTGGTGAAGGGTTATGTAACTACTGGATAACTGTATATATTAAATGTCTATAAATACATTTGCATATAAATATAAAAGCAGCTACATATTGAACCAACACAAATAACTACAGAGAATACACTGGATACTGTACCCAAATGGAAATTTTCGAGGCTTTTGGAAGTATTATCTCTTTAAACTGAGTATTATCCTAAGTATTTAACACAGTATCAAAGAAAAACACTTTAAAAATACAAGCATTAGGGTTTTAAAGACCTGGAAGTTGAAACAGTAACATGTATCTTGATTATGAATGGAAAAGATAAATACTGTGCTATTCAACATAATGCTTTCCAAAGAAACCTTTCTAATTCATTCATGCTATGTTAGATCAACCCTGAAAATTAGTTAATGTCCCTAACGCTGTAGAAGCGATACAACAGGGAAGGAAGGGAACAAACTCACAAACAACACAGTCTGCTGCAGATGAGAAGGCAATGAACAGACTCTAGGCTAAGCCTTTCAATCTCTTTTGCTATGTGGTTTTCATGACAAGTCTGTGCATGCCATTGTCTGTCACCAGATGTTGCCATGTTCTTGGCCTAGGGTACAGGAGTGTCAAGAGGGGGGACAGAGGATGCGTGTGAAATGGGGATGCCATGGACACCGATGCAGAGGGACAGCCGCTAACCGTGCAGCCCCATCACGTTGTTGCATCTAAGTTTCTCAGCCTAAGTGCAAGCTTCCCACCCCAGTGCACTGTCCCACCCCACGGCCCCCAGAATGACTGAAATATTCTGCAGAAAGAGGAAAATACATAGTACTCTGGGATTATATGAGCCTCAGGTCATGGTTGGAAACTTTAGGATTTCTATTGCCTTTAAACACTTGCTATAAGAGAAACTCATTTCCTCAGCAGGGAACAGTAAGCTTTCAAAACCTCAATTTTCTCATCTTGAAAATAAATGTTGTCAATTGTTACCTCTAAATTCCCTTCCCGACTTAAGACTCCATAACTCACAATCTGATCCGGGGAGAGATACATAGGCTTGGATGTAAATTCTGGCTCTGCCATTTGTGGCTCTGGGCAAGTCATTTAACCCTTCTGAGAGCTCAGTTTCCCCATCTGTAACACAATGATACCCTCAACCTTGGGGGTTGTGACAACACAGGGACAGCCCCTGGGGTAGAACTTGGGACAGGAAATGGGAGTGGTCACCATTTTCACTGCCTTTGAAGACTACCAGAAAATTTCTCTGCCTGGTAGGGGACCCGATTCTGCCCTGGTTTATCTAATTCAAGAAAAGAATGTTCAATTGGTCTTTGAGCAGATCTTTTCCTAAAAGGCCAATATATTGCAGCTTTAGTTTTGAAAAATTCATTAGGTTCTTGTACAAGAGAGAGACTGCCAGATGACATGTATCAAAAGCATGTATGCTTTTGCTAGAGACATGGTTATTTCCTTCCCTAAATTTCACAGGACACCTGACTCCTAATGTTTGTCTCTATGTTTGCTATTTAACCCGTCACTTAATCATTGCCTCAGAGTTGAAGCAAGTCAAGTATTATTTGCTGGAAAACATCAAGCTTTATAGAAAGATATCAGGTTCCTGCACCATGCAGCAGCGGACAGATTAAAAATATTAACTGCCCTTAGATTTGTTGTAATTGGAGTGGTAAGGTCTTGGGAAGTATCTGAGGACTTCTGTTTTTCTGATCCTGATATAATCAATTTCAGCACTTTTACTCAGTATCTTCTGGCTGGGTGGATAACTATTTGAACACTATCTTTCTCTGCAAGTTTTATAGTCCAATTAACCATAATACTCCAGTTTTTACAAATCCTCTATTCTTTTTTCTAAAAACCTGGATGAAGTACTAAGAAAGTGTTCTAATAACCTTATCATCATCACTAATGGAATCAAAGCGAATACTGATATGGCTCAAATCATTTATGTGCTGGCAGTGACTCTTAGACATTTGAGAGTCTTGCCTCTGACTTCCATAACAAGATAAACTTGTTCTCTGAACAAGACAGAACATGTATTTAAGTATTGGTAACTTCATAGCAGTGATTTTGACACTGAAGAATCAAATATTCTTGGAGCAAGGATAGGCTCACCAAGAACCATATCAATGCTTTCAACCCAAGAGCATACCATTTAGGATACAGAATCAATTTCAATATACATACATGAATTCTCAAACCAACTTAGCTTATTCAGCTGGTTTATGAAATAGATTTTTAAAAAGACATATTGATAGAAGTGAGCAGCACTGACCATTTTGTTGACCACAGGAAAATAAGAGGCAGTATTATTCATGAACTGATTTAAACTTGGAACTGTGTTGAGGGACTTTTGGCCTATTTACCAAAGGGTCAGGTTTCTCTGTTTTTGGCAGCATTATGTCAGTGGAAAAAAACATAACAGGAATTAAAGAGACCTTATTCAAATCCTATATATCACTTAGTAGGTGAGTAACTGATCAAATTAATCTAACTTTACTAAATCTTTTCTTCTTTCAAAAATGCAGAATTATGATAGTACAGCAGCGTTGTTGTGAGATTATAGATAATATACACAAAGTATCTGGCAGAGTGCTTGGATGAGAGTGGTGTGTAGCAATGATAATAATCATAGCAATACAGAGTGATAATAAGGGGTTAGCTTCAGCAGACTGATTTCCTACGTCAGATTAATTTAAAATGAGGAAATACTTTTCTTCTTAATAAATGTAATTTTCATTAATGGCACCTATCTTTCCAAACATGAGCGCCATTGGGGAAGGCAATACGAGCCGGGTGACCTTCCTGGAGAGAGACCAGAACCATGCTGGGGAGAAGTCCCCTGCAGACCAGGCTGTTCCAGGGACAGTTCTCTGGTTCCACTGGCAATGAGGCATCAGGCAGCCACTGCACTTCCTCTGCACCCCTCTTTCCTCATGTAGGAAGTGAAAGAACAGGACTAGCACTCTCTCGGTTCTCTTTCTGCTCTCCTCTCTAGGATTCTAACTCATAAACAGAGAACAGTGTGCGTTGAAGCTTACCCTGCCAAATCGCCTCCATTATTCTCAAGAAGACCATGGGGCACAACAAAGGAAGAATATTTATAATTGGTTTTGAACCTTAACTTCAATATTTCCTACCTCGTATGTGGCAGAAAATTTATCTTGGTTTCTGGAAAACATGTTTCGTTCTACTGTAATCTTATTATTTAAAACTATTTATGTAATGTTATTTTCAGGGGTTTTTAATTTCATAATAAAACTCCAGCTGAGTTGAAATTGAGCATGCATGTGCTTAGCTTAAGAAAGAATTCTATGTTCTGGACGAAGTTTAAACCCACAGAGCCAGTTTAAGAGCAGAAATAAAAAGAGTTGCTTAGAGAAAAACTGTGGGCAATGAGCAATGTACAGAGAAGCCTGAAGTCATGCCCTTGAGGCCAAGCTGCTAAGCCAAGCTCAGGTCACACACCTTGCACCAGGACACTGGAGCCTCAAGGCCCTTGTGCTCAGAGATGAACCAAAGAATCTGATTAGTATTGCACATAAAGGAAGCCAAACAGCCCCACGGTGTGAGAATGTAACAAGAGTCCTCCAAACCCTATGATCAAAGCGTATCCCCTTCACATAGCTCTCTGCAGAGCTGGCAGGGGCTGGCAATTAATGAAAGGTTTCAAGGCTGTGAACACAAGTCAATGGTTTTCTACAGGATGGAGATGTGGGGTTCGGGGCCAATCTGCCAAAATGTGCCATTCACGATGAATCTCTAAAAAATAGCAATCTCTGGGCCAGCCATCTGGGTGGGGTCTTTACCCTGGAACAGATGATGACAAGCGAGTCACATTCTCATCAACACTTTATATTATGTTACTGTTTATGTTTCACCATCATTTTAAATCCATCACTTTCAATTTATTTGAAACCATCTTTTTCTTAGACAACCCCGATGCTCTACTCCGTGCCTTGTATCCCAGAGAACCCTCTCGGCCGAGTCCTGTATTCGGGGTCTACATTCCTCCTGCTTCTGCTACGTAAGGGGATGGGGGCTCTGTCACTTATACCCTGCATTTCCGTTTGCAGGCCTACTGTGACATGGAAGCTGGTGGAGGCGGGTGGACAATTATTCAGCGACGTGAGGACGGCAGCGTTGACTTTCAGAGGACTTGGAAAGAATATAAAGTGGTATGGACATTCTTTAAGGCATCAGAAAAGAATTTCCCTTGTGAAAAATAGCTTTCAAGATCTGCGGAACCTTAAACACCAATCCCAAACTAACCAATTACTTTTGACATAGTTTTCTTTTTGGTAGAGACGGGGTTTCATCGTGTTAGCCAGGATGGTCTTGATCTCCTGATCTCGTGATCTACCCGCCTCGGTCTCTCAAAGTGCTGGGATTACAGGCTTTTAAAATTGGTGTTCAAATTAGTTCTTCAAATTGGTGTTTCAGTCTCCTCTTTAAAGAATGGCCAATATAAGGTAAACTGTATCAAAACAAAAGCTGCAGCCAGGTGCAGTGGCTCATGCCTGTAATCCCAGCACTTCGGGAGGCCGAGGCAGATGGGTCACCTGAGGTCAGGAGTTTGAGACCAGCTGGCCAACATAGCGAAACTCTGTATCTACTAAAAATACAAATATTAGCCAGGTGTGGTGGTGAGCACCTGGAATTCCAGCTACTCAGGAGGCTGAGGCAGGAGAATCGCTTGAACCCGGGAGGCAGAGGCTGTAGTGAGCCCAGATCATGCCACTGCACTCCAGCCTGCCTGGGTGACAGAGTAAGACTCTCTCTCCAAAGAAAAAAAAAAAAAAAAAAAAACAAGGCTGCCACTGCTTAGCTTATTTTTAAAGGTGGGCTCAGTGTTTTTTTGGTAAGCCAACTGTTTCATGGTGCTTCACATTCCCATGAACGGAACTGTTTATGCTGAGGCTTCTGCTGGTGGCTCCCCAAGTAGTTCTCATTATCCTAATACAAATTATCTTCCAGCAGCAGCTTAGTGTCTAATAACTGACCTGTTTAAAATCCATTTTCTTTTGGGGAGGACCCTGAATTGTCACAGCAGCAGAAGTAATTTCTGCTATTTGATAGTTATTCTATGTTAAGTTGACGGACTATCCACTTCAAATATACAAAGAAAAAATTACATGAAGTAATTGAATTTAACCACTTGCGTTACAGGGATTTGGTAACCCTTCAGGAGAATATTGGCTGGGAAATGAGTTTGTTTCACAACTGACTAATCAGCAACGCTATGTGCTTAAAATACACCTTAAAGACTGGGAAGGGAACGAGGCTTACTCATTGTATGAACATTTCTATCTCTCAAGTGAAGAACTCAATTATAGGTAAGTGAGTGACTGGTAACTGAAAGAAAAAATTAAAAGATTTGTGGCCGGGCGCGGTGGCTCACACTTGTAATCCCAGCACTTTGGGAGGCTGAGGCGGGCGGATCACGAGGTCAGGAGATCGAGACCATCCTGGCTAACACGGTGAAACCCCATCTCTACTAAAAATACAAAAAAATTAGCCGGGAGTGGTGGTGGGTGCCTGTAGTCCCAGCTACTCAGGAGACTGAGGCAGGAGAATGGCGGGAACCTGGGAGGCGGAGCTTGCAGTGAGTCAATATCGTGCCACTGCACTCCGGCCTGGGCCACAGAGCGAGACTCCGTCTCAAAAAAAAAAAAAAAAGAAAAAAAAATTAAAAGATTTGCTGGGTGACTATTCCAGAAAATGAGAACCACAATGATTTAACCAAGATCTAAATTACTCTTTTATTACCTTAAATGGAAAAACATCTTGTTTCTCAGAATTATTACCTCTTTAAGTTTCTCTGGGTTTAAAATTCTAACTTTGGTTATAACAATATAAAAGAAACTTCATACAAACAGTATTTTGTCCGTTGTGTTTACTGTGTATCTTCAAAGCCTGGAAGAACTCTGCCTGGTAGATAATTGGCTTTCATAGATACTTGTAAAATCAGTGAATGGTAAGTGTTCCCATGATGATATGTCATACAAATAGCATAAATGATGGATACTTGTGACTGTGATGTTTTATTCCAAAAGGTTTCAAAACTTAATCTGTCTTTATGAAGTTTAAACACATTCAATTGTGTTCAATCTCAAAGTCAAGATTAGTTGTCAAGTTTAGAGATGGCAGAGTTAGGTGGGATGGTTAGTCAACTCTCCTCTCCTCTACAGGAAACACATCAGATTCACAGCATTCTCTGAGTGTTTGCCTTGTCCTCACCCATTTGGTGGCAATTATCATAAGTAATAGCATAGGCAACCTTGACCAGGAATTTACTTTCTGCCTCTAAAATGCCATGAGAGTGGAGACAGAGAACAGCAATGGGACTTGACAACTTAGTGTGCAGATAAGTATGGTGAAGCCACATGCACAGTAATGCTGGTACACAAGGCACAGAGAGGCACTCCGAAATGTGTGCGCAATGGCAGGGGCAGAGAAGTGAGACTGTGTGCCCAGTGGCACCAACACCAGCCTAAAGGAGTCTAAAGAGCACAGACTGGTGGCGCCCGGTGATCATGGAGCACACATTATGAAATACCCGCTTTGAGGTCAGAAATCAGCAAACGAAGGTCAACACGAACATCACAGAAACAGTCATCATCTTACCTACAGTCTCGTCTTTATCTCACTAATGCCCAAGTCAGACACTCTGCTCCACGACCTGAACAGTCTGAAAGCAGACACAACGTTAAAGTCCTTGAGCAGGCTGCCCAGCGGAGGGCTGTAGTGGGCAGCACAGAGAAGTGGCTGAATGTCAAGTTGCCTGAACAACCAACTGAAAACTCTACAATGCCCAGTATGTCCTGTTTTACAAACAGTGAATGGAAATTCAGAAGCATGTTTGAGAAACAGATATACATGGATGTGACTCTTTAAACATCAGTGAAGCATATTCACTATTCTCATTATGGAAAGACCAGGCTCTCCTGGAGAGGTAACGACCGAGATGAATGAGAAGATAGGTGTTTGGGCCTCACAGCAGTTCCAACTTGACTCCAAAGAGATCAAAACTTCAATGAATTTTGAGACACAAGTGGCTGGTCATTGTTTTACCTCCAACTTAAATATTTTTTCAACTGGCAATAGTTAGGAATCTACAACAGAAGAATTAAAAAAAAAAAAAAAAAAAAGAAGCACAAAAATTAAGGATTAGGCTGTTTGTATAAGAAGAGTTTTACAAAATGGGTCATTACCCTTGTACGCTGACATTATAAAAATATTTTAAACTGTGATGGTTCTTAACAGATATTTCCTTTAGAAATTCAATCAATTTTTGGATAGGCCATTTGGAAAAACACACACGTTGGTTTAAAGCTTAATTTGCTTGGCAAGATAAAATAGATATTACATCAAAATTATTATCCTATAAAACATGATGCTAGCATGATAAGAGAACTGTGAAGGGACTGAAACTTTTCATAACTGCAAATGCTTGGAGACACCCATTGTATGCAGCATGTAAGGGATTTTTTTCCGGAAGAAATGTTCTCCAAGTGTGGGAAAACTGGAATATACATGTTATAAGAAATGGATAAATGCATCAGTAGAATTTGATTCTTTCCAGTAAAATTAAAAGCTATGTGCACGTTAAACCTTAAAAATTGGTCACTTTTCACACACATTCTGGCAGTTTCATATAACACTGAGGTTTAATTGTTAAATGTTGATGTTACCTCTTTACTCCACTGTCATATAAAATAATCCCTGGCAAAGCTGCAGAGATTGAAAAAAAATCAACCCACACCAATGTAAAGCAACTTCAAGAACATGGCCATTCTTAATAACCAAATTTTAAAGAAAGCACTTTAAACCAGGGAGCCATAAAAGGACCTAAAATTATACAAAACCTTTCGAACAGAGACTCATAAAAAATAGTATTCTCCCTTATTTTTCTTGCCCCTGGGGAAAATTTAACAAGTTCCATGAGAACTAAACATGTTCAAAGGAGTCAGGAGAGTTAAAAGATAAGCAAGGGAAGTGGTTCGTCTCAATCCTGTCTATGATTAACGGGAAGACAATGGAAAGAAAGTAAAGTGTTTCAAAATCCCAACAAAGATGAGCATTTATGACATTAACATTTTGCAGCAGGCATTTAGAGACTGAGCTATGGCCAGTCTCACTTTTGAAACGTGTAGGAAAATAGTGAGACTCACATGTCCAGTCCATGCCTTAGGATGAAGTTTCTAGGGCTGCCTTAATACTGAAGACACTTAAGAGCAACACTTACGGAACTCCACATCACATGGCCTCATCCTCATCTTTTCACAACGTCTTCAATAAACAAACATCTCTGTTTAGGTGTGCACCAGTGTTGAAACATGGCAGAGGGGTTTGCTGCATCTGGTGCAAATCCTACCTCCATGACTTAAGAGTCTGACCTCGGACAAGTTTGTATCTCTGAACCTCAGTGACTTGCAGTGCAAAAATAAAGATGGCGGCCACCACTGCGGGTGGTTATGAGCATCCAGTGTGCGTGCAGGTGTAAGCACCTGGCCTGGCCTGACCAGCAGGTAAAACTAAAAGAACCTTTTCTCTCTTCTTTGCACTCTTCCAATACAAACTGATAAAAATTATATTATTCCAATGCGGCAGTTAGTAAACATTAGCAGGTTTTACAAAGAAGGGCATCATCTTGGTGCTTCAAGTACACTTCTCCTGCTACCATTGCAGGATTTGCTTTTTAGGCTCCTCGCCTGGGTCTTCGTCTGCCTATTTCTCCATCAGGACGTGAGGACTCAATGTGCCAACATGGCATACCCCATTACGTGATGCCTGCTCTGATCTGTACTGAACCATCTGCCAAGGGGCTTCTTTGCAGCAGAAACTCCTGCGCATAGTTATGGAAAATTTAAAAAAAAAAAAAGAAAAGAAAAAACAACCTCAAAATATACTGTCTTCTCCCGTCCCTTATTTGCTCCTTGCTGGTACACAGACGACCAATAATAAGTCGTATTTTTGCAATACAACTTACAATGGTTCAACTTAAGATTTTTCAACTTTACGATGGTGTGAAGGTGATACACATTCAGCAGAAACTACACTTTGAGATTTAAATTTGGATCTTTCCCTGGCTAGTGATATGTGGCACGACGCTCCCTTGTGATGCTGGGCAGCGGCAGCAAGCCACAGCTCCCAGTCAGCCCTACCATCACCAGGGTGAACAACAGACACGGCATGCACCATGTTGCCAAATGGCTCTGCCTGACTGTGGGCTAATGTGGGTGTTCTGAGCACATTTAAGGCAGGCTAGGGCTAAGCTACGATGCTCCGAAGGTCAGGTGTAGTCCATGCATTTTCAATGTACAACATTTTCAACCTTCAATGGGCTTATCAGAACATAGCCCCATGGGAAGTCAGGGATCATCCGTATTGTAAATAGTGTCTAACTTACTCAGACATTTGTTCCTTTCTCAATGTCTAACAGTTTAATTACTTTACACTACTATACAGACATGAGGCAATGCAGCCACAAGGATTTATTTTCAGCACCGTTCTGTAGATTTCTTCCCCAAACTCAGTGGCCATTCCTTGTCTGCTGCATTCTCCATCCCCCCGGGGTGCCCTGTGGAAAATGATGTTTGAGGTTGCCCAGTTGTGTCAGGACTCTGTCTCTATGGAAGATGACTAGAGACCTGGGAGGAGGACCCTCGTGCTGCATTTCTCTCTCTTCTGTTTATCTGAAAGCAGCAGGAAAATAAATTACAGGGCTCTACAGTCGCTGCTGATAGTTGTGCAAGTGATATGTGTTGAAGGTTTCATGAAAACATCCCTCTTTGCCGAAGGATTTGATGATAAGTTGGTTCCTGTTTATACCAGTGCAAAATATTTTGTCCAGAGTATGCATTAGTCCATTAACGAGTACAGAACATGCTTCTGTAGAATAGCATTCTTCATTACAAAAAATTTTCCACTATGGTAAATCAATGACCCTAGCCAATTAAATTTGTTTTTTCTCTTTGCACGCTTACAGGATTCACCTTAAAGGACTTACAGGGACAGCCGGCAAAATAAGCAGCATCAGTCAACCAGGAAATGATTTTAGCACAAAGGATGCAGACAACGACAAATGTATTTGCAAATGTTCACAAATGCTAACAGGAGGTAGGGATGACTTTCTGTCTTCCTATTTGTATTGGCAAGGAACGATTTCATAGAGGGAAAGGCTGGCAATTTGGACTTCAAATTGTGATTGGTAATGATGTCCACAATTTCATACGTAGACACACTAGCTTGACATAGATAAATGTGTTTCACTTTTTTTTTTAGACTAAGTTTTAAGTGAGAATATGATATGGAGCTAGACTTGTCAGCAAGCCAACCGTGTCTCCTCAGGACCTAGCCCTGGCAAGGACAGGGGATATTTGATTCTTAGCAAGCTCTCCTGGGTTTGTGCTTGCTGGATACTAGAGAGATGGTTTAATTACATTTTGCTTTATTTAAAAAGTTAAAAATTCCAAGTAGCAACCAAAACAGTAATACAGATTATAGAAATATTTCCAAATAATAATTTAATGTTCAAACGAGGAATTTCCAGTTGTCATTTATTATTTATTTATTTTGAGACAAAGTCTCCAGCTGTTTATTTATTTATTTTGAGATGGAGTCTCACTTTGTTGTCCAGAAGGGAGTGTGATCGCAGCTCACTGCAACCCCTGCCTCCCAGCCTCAAGCAATTCTCCTGCCTCAGCCTCCCCAGTGCTGGGATTATAGGTGCCCATTACTGCAGCGGCTAATTTTGTATTTTTAGTACAGAGAGGGTTTCATCACGTTTGCCAGGCTGGTCTCAAACTGCTGACCTCAAGTGATCTGCCCGCCTCAGCCTCCAGAAGTGTTGAGATTACAGGCGTGAGCCACCACACCTGGCCCCAGTTGTTTTTTTTAAAAAGATTTCATTAATATATAGCAAACACCTATAAACACAACGAGTTAACCAACCTCTTTTAGTAAATCAAATTAAAATGAGTGATCTTCTTCTACTTCAAGGCCTTTCTGGTTTTCTACTTTTAGTATCAGACTGCCGTAAAACAGACAATGAAAACCACACTCATAAGCAAAAGACCACTGTAGTAGTCACTTAAAATGGATGGGTTGGTATTCAGAAACATTTGAGAGTTCAAACATAGGAATCGACTTTTAGAAAATGTTATTTTTCTGGCCTGGTGGCTCACGCTTGTAATCCCAGCACTCTGGGAGGCTGAGACGGGCGGATCACCTGAAGTTAGGAGTTCGAGACCAGCCTGGCCAGCACAGTGAAACCCCGTCTCTACTAAAAATACAAAAATTACCCAGGCATGGTGGCAGGTGCCTGTAATCCCAGTTACTCCTACTCAGGAGGCTGAGGCAGCAGAATGGCTTGAACCTGGGAGGCGGAGGTTGCAGTGACCCAAGATCATGCCACTGCATGCCAGCCTGGGGGACAGAGTGAAACTTCATCTCAAAAAAAAAAAAGAAAAAAAGAAAACGTTATTTTTCTGATTTTTTAAAAGTTTAGAAATTCACTGACAGGAACAAACACTACTACTTAGTAACTGAGACAAGAAAAAAGTCTGACAAATGCTGTCAAGTTAGTTCTTGAAAAACACTGAAAGATTTAAAGTAGCAACAAAACCTCTGCCAATAGTGCAAAATGAATGTAAAGAATAACAGGAAAAATGGGAGGGTTTAACTTCTAGAGAACATAAATCGTGTCTGCAAAAATTAATATGTTACCCACCCAAGAAAACCAAAGGTAAGAACTATGGTCAACATATTTTATAAATGAAAGTTACTACATTAAACAAATGGATGACCCAAGTTATGATGTATTTACACTATAGGAATCATTAAGAGGGCTGGGCGTGCACACTTGTAACCCCAGCACTTTGGGAGGCCAAGGCAGGCGGATCACCTGAGGTCAGGAGTTTGAGACCAGCCTGGCCAACATGGCAAAACCCCGTCTCTACTAAAAATACAAAAATTAGCCAGGTGTGGTGGCGCACACCTGCAATCCCAGTTACTCAGAAGGCTGAGGCAGGAGAACTGCTTGAACCGGGGAAACAGAGGTTGCAATGAGCCGAGATCACGCCACTGCACTCCAGCCTGGGCGACAAGAGTGAGACTCTGTCTCAAAAACAAAACAGAACAAAACAAAAAAACAAACAAAACAAAACAAAAAAAAAAACCAAAAAAAAAAAAAACCCCAGCATCATTAACAGTCAAAAGGAGAATTTAGTAATGAAAATAATATGAAATTTGGTAATATTCAAGTCTTTAAATTTCATGCCTTTTATACTGAAAGAATCAGGCCTCATTAAAAAAATAAAAAATAATAAAAAAATAAAAAAGCAATCCTCTGTTTCCTGAGAAAGTATGACTACTATTTGGTAACACAGGTCCTCCCTACTAACCATTATTACACCAATGAGCAAAGCCCTCATACTGATTTTGCAAAAGCTTCTTCTTTCCCTCATCCTGGCACAATCATCCTTTTTAAAGCTGAACAGCAGGGAAAGTGGTCGGGTGGAGGAGCCACAGATACCTAGGGCTTCGTTTCCTGTCTGCCCTTTCCCCCACATGCTGGACCCAGTTCTCTCCTTGAGAAGGTTGTGGTTGTTAGACCACCCGTATGTGGTGAGCTTCTCAGGAGAGTAGGAGAATCGCATTAATAACCAAGGAAACAATATATTTACTTACTCAAATCAAGATTTAGGGGCTGAGAGTGTAATTGGAAAAGAGACTGAGGAGAGGAAAAACAGTCCAAGAGAGAAAGTGGAGTGGTCTCGCCTGTGAAGGGGTCAAATTCCAGCCAGTGGTCTGGACCATGAATGAACCAGCCTAATGAGCAGCTCCATTTTGCATGGACACCAAGTTCTCTAGTCAGACAAGCTCCAGAAGAGACTGACTTATGAATCTGTCAAAGTGCTGAATATGTGAAGGATTCTGAATAGAACACGCAAACTTCCATCCAATCTGCATTCATCTGAATCAAATGAAGTCACTGAGCTGTTACCACCAGGAAAGAATGTAGGAACCTGGATGAAATAACTGGCACTCACAAAGCAATGTGTAAACACAACATATATGTATATATAGAATATATATTCTATATGTTATATTATATATAGCATATATATTCTATGTTATGTTATATATAGCATATATTCTATATATTCTATATGTTATATATAGCATATATTCTATATGTTATATATAGCATATATATTCTATATATTCTATATGTTATATATAGCATATGTAGTCTATATGTTATACATAGCATATATTTCTATATAGTCTATATGTTATAGCTATATATAACATATAGAATCTATATATAACATATAGACTATATAGAATATATATGCTATGTATAACATATAGACTACATATGCTATATATAACATATAGAATATATAATATAGAATATATATGCTATACATTTATAAAGGATATATATTCTATATATATAAAGGATATATAGTCTATTATACATATATAAAGAATATACATATTCTATATATACATACATAAAGAATATATATATTCTGTATACATATATATAAAGAATATATATATATATTCTCTTTGGCATCAGAGTTTTTATTTAAGAAATAATACGTTACAGGTAAGGCTAAAGAGGCCCTGCCAGTGCCATTTCCTGCCTGCTGCTTGGGTCGAGGTTAATTCACTTTATTAATTTTCCTACATATGGAGATATCAATCATAATTATTTTCTGTATTTTAAAAATTAATATAAGAAGTATCATACTGTATGTATCCCTCCAACACAGTGTTTTTGAGATTTATTCAGATTAATATATATAAAATCAAGGTTACAGCAGTCCTCTCTTCTCCTTAGGGGAAACATTCCAAGATGTCCAGCAAATGCCTGAAATCACAGACAGTATCAAACCCTATGTGTTTATTTTTTCCTGTTCACACGTATTTATGAAGTTTAGTTTGTAAACTAGGCACAACAAGAGACTTAACAACAATAATAAAACTGAATAGTATACAACATATTGCTTCCAACTTCATGGATATAAGATCTGTTCTTCTATAGATCTTAGTACCCTTAGTGTACGATTTTGTTCTCTCCTTATTAAGTCAGGAACTTTCGCCTTTTCACTTAAAGGAAGCACTTTACAGCTTCTCTTTGGCATATTTGAATTGCCAGCATCATCACTCTTGCACTTTTGGGGCCATTATTAAGTCAAATAAGGGTTACTTGAACATAAGCACTGTGATACAGCGTGGATCCACGGGATAGAGGGGATCATTCACGTTCTGGGAGGGAAGAAGGGGACAGCAGGAGATTTCATCCCGTTACTCAGAACAGCATGCAATTTAAGGCTTATAGATTATTTCTGTCACCCAGGCTGGAGTGAGTGGCGCGATCTCGGCTCACTGCAAGCTCCCCCTCCCGGGTTCCCGCCATTCTCCTGCCTCAGTCTCCCGAGTAGCTGGGACGACAGGCGCCGCCACCACGCCCGGCTCATTTTTTTTGTATTTTTAGTAGAGACGGTGTTTCACCGTGTTAGCCAGGATGGTCTGGATCTCCTTACCTTGTGATCCACCCACCTCAGCCTCCCAAAGTGCTGGGATTACAGGCGTGAGCCACCGCGCCCGGCCCCTGCTTATAGATTATTTCTAGAATTTTCCATTTAATATTTAGAGCCACAGCTGACTTCAGGTATCTGAAAGTGCAGAAAGCGAAAACAGCAGATAAAGGGGGACTACTGTGTTGCCTTCTCTCACAAACCCCAGCATGCTCCTGTTTTTGGCCAAGCCCAGAAATTAAGGTGTAGATGGGCTTCACTCCCACAGCCCCTGTGCTGGGCACCTCTCCTGCCCTGGCTCTAGCTGAGAGAGCGCACACTCTCACTTTAAATTTCCTCTTTGTCTCTGAAACATAGAGACTTCCTTTTTATGTAGCTCCACTGAGTACTTAATATTTTGGGTTAAAGTTCAATCAAAAAAATCCTTTAATAGAGCAAGGGGAGCCTGAGTGAGTCCAGCCCACCATGTTGCTGGGACTGGTAAGTAATCCTGGTTGAAGGAGAGTTTTCCAACTGTGCCTCAGATGTTTGCTTATCGCCGCTGTAAGTGTGTACACACTGTGGGCTAACCAAATAGGACTGTGGAGAATTCAGGCCTCTCCACACAGCATAAGGGAAAAGGTGGAAGAACGTTTGTAAAAGCATTTGCAGTAATAAAACTGTGATGTCACGGGCGTACAGCTGGAAAACCGTCTCTCTGCCAGTGCACATCCTATACTCACAGCCATCTGCATGTGCCTACTCCGCATGCCTGCAGCGTGCCTCCTGGCTTAGCTGAGTACTGCTGTCTTCGTTGTGGGAGCTGGCATCACCTAGTTCCTAATTCCTTCTGTGTTTTACTTTCACAGGCTGGTGGTTTGATGCATGTGGTCCTTCCAACTTGAACGGAATGTACTATCCACAAAGGCAGAACACAAATAAGTTCAACGGCATTAAGTGGTACTACTGGAAAGGCTCAGGCTACTCGCTCAAGGGCACAACCATGATGATCCGACCGGCAGATTTCTAAACACCCGAGTCCACCTGAGGAAGACTGTCTCGAACTATTTTCAAAGACTTAAACCCAATGCACTGAAAGTCACGGCTGCGCACTGTGTCCTCTTCCACCACAGAGGGCGTGTGCTCAGTGCTGACGGGACCCATGTGCTCCAGATTACAGCCTGTAGACTTTGTCACTTAAACTTGCATCACTTAACAGACCAAAGCAAGACCCTAAACATCTGTAATGGTGATTAGACAGAACACCTATGGAAAGATGAACCCGAGGCTGAGCATCAGATTGACAATTTACAGACTCTGCTGTCACAACGAAGAATGTTATGTGCAAGTTTATCAGTAAATAACTGGAAAACAGAACACTTATGTTATACAATACAGATCATCTTGGAACTGCATTCTTCTGAGCACTGTTTACACATTGTGTAAATATCCATATGTCCTGAATTCACCATCACTATCACAATTAAAAGGAAGAAAAAAATCTCTAAGCCATAAAAAGACATATTCAGGGATATTCTGAGAAGGGGTTACTAGAAGTTTAATATTTGGAAAAACAGTTAGTGCATTTTTACTCCATCTCTTAGGTGCTTTAAATTTTTATTTCAAAAACAGCGTATTTACATTTATGTTGACAGCTTAGTTTTAAGTTAATGCTCAAATACGTATTTCAAGTTTATATGGTGGAAACTTCTAGGATCTCTGAAATTATCAACAGAAACATGTGCCATTTTAGTTTATATGCAGATTGTACTATTTTTTTCTGCCTGATTGTTAAATATGAAGGTATTTTTAGTAATTAAATATAACTTATTAGGGGATATGCCTATGTTTAACTTTTATGATAATATTTACAATTTTATAATTTGTTTCTGAAAGAACTAATTGTGCCTTGTGATAAGGAAACCTTTGATTTTAATGATGAGGAAAATTATACATTTCATTCTATGACAAAGAAACTTTACTATCTTCTCACTATTCTAAAACAGAGGTGTGTTTTCTTTTCTAGTAAGATATATTTTTATAGAACTAGGCTACAATTTAATTTGTAGTTGAGAAAAGCCTTCTATTTAAGAAATTTACAAAGCTATATGTCTCAAGATTCACCCTTAAATTTACTTAAGGAAAAAAATAATTGACACTAGTAAGATTTTTTTATGTCAATCAGCAAACTGAAAAAAAAAGTGTTTCAAAGTGCAAAAACAAAATCTGATGTTCATAATATATTTAAATATTTACAGAAAATTTGAGAACACGGGGCCGGGCGCAGTGGCTCACACCTGTAATCCCAGTACATTGGGAGGCCGAGGTGGGCAGGTCACCTGAGGTCAGGAGTTCAAGACCAGCCTGGCCAACATGGTGAAACCCCATCTCTATTAAATAATACAAAAACTAGCCAGGCGTGGTGGTGGGCGCCTGTAATCCCAGCTACTCGGGAGGCTGGATCAGGGAGAATTGCTTGAACCCAGGAGGCGGAGGCTGCAGTGAGCCAAGATCACGCCACTGCACTCCAGCCTGGGTGACAGAGCAAGACTCCATCTCAAAAAAAAAAAAAAAAAGAAAGAAAAGAAAATTTGAGAACACAGCTTTATACTCAGGATTACAAAACCATAAACTCCTAGAGTTTTAACTCCTTTTGAAATTTTCATAGTACAATTAATACTAATGAACATTTGTGTAAAGCTTTATAATTTAAAGGCAATCTCTCATATATTCTTTTCTGAGTCATTTGCAAGGAAGTTCAGAGTCCAGTCCACAACTAGCATCTACTATATGTCTGTCTTTACCTTCTATTGTACCATTATTTTTTCTTTATTCCATTTTAAAATCTAATTTATTTTACGCCAACTTCTCCCTGCTCCCTTGACGTAGTTTTAGAACACATAGGTGTTGCTACATATTTTGAGTCAGTGATGAACTCTGGCAAAGTCAAGGCTCTGTTTTATTTCCACCAAGGTCCACTTTTCCAACAACTATTTAACTGAGTCAAGAACCTCCCTACCTTAGAACTGTATCTACTTTATATTTAAGAAGGTTTTATGAATTCAACAACAGTATCATGGCCTTGTATCAAGTTGAAAAACAACGGAAAATAAGAAAATTTCACAGCCTCAAAAGACAACAACAAGTTTCTATGATATTTCAATGACAACAGTGATGGATACTTAGGCAGGGAAATGATAATGCAAGAAAAACTGGCAACAACACAATTTATATCAATTTTCCATGTAGGCAGGTGAAACAAAATTCAAGGACAAATCTCATTATGTCATTGGGCATCATATATAATCTCTTATGACCGAGAATGGGGGGAATTTGTGTTTTTACTTTACACTTCAGTTCCTTACACAGTATTTCAAACAAACAGTTTTGCTAAGAGGAACTTTTCTCTCCTTAAGAAAACATTTATAAAGCTGAAAGGAAATCAAACAGTAATCTTAAAAATGAAAACAAACAACCCAACAACCTAGATAACTACAGTGATCAGGGAGCACAGTTCAACTCCTTTTTATGTTTTAGCCATACGGCCTACTCAAACAGCTATATAACAATACGGGTGGCAGATAAAAATCACCATTTATCTTTCAGATATTAATCTTTTGAATGAATAAACTGTCACAAGCAAGTTAACATTTTTGAACATGAAAGGCAACTTCCGCACAATTCTATATCCAACCAAACCTTAAATTACCCGCTTAATTATTACTTCATCTTAAAAAAAATTAGAACCCAGAACTTTTCCATGAAGCATTTGAAAGTTGAAGTGAAATTTAGGAAAGTCATAAAAATATAAAGACTGTTACCACAGCACCAGCAAGCCATAATTTTTACATCTATCAGTTCTGCCTCTATCAACAGGAAAAACATTAAGCAAGATATAAGACTACTTGCCCAAGAATTCAGTCTTTTTTCAATTTTGTTTTTCTCAATTCTGAGGACTTTAATCATTAAATTTTCTTTGGACTGCATTCCTGACTACTTTTTGCAGAATGGTCTCACGTTCTCACATTTGTTCCCACAAATAAATTGATAAAAGATGTTAAGTTCTGTGAATGTCTTTTTAATTATGGGCATAATTGTGCTTGACTTGATAAAAACTTAATTCTACCCTTACGTTTATAATAATTTCTTGAGAACACCAAATTGCATTTACCATCATAAAACAATATTTGACTTACAGGAGCTGCAGGGAAGTGATTAGACAGTTCGAATGGCTCCTCAGAAATCCATTGACCCGATTCTAAAGACCACAGCACCTGCAAGTGATACAATAAGCAGATTTATTATACATTTATTAGGCTTAGCAGGCAATAAACCAAGAGTCACTTTGAAGACACAGCAAAAACAAAACAAAAAATTCAGCAGTGATACACTCCGCAGATCTGAAATAGATGTGTTCTCAAACAATAAAGTCCCTTCAGAATCTTCATGTTGCATAAATGTTATGAATATTAATAAAAACTTGGTTAAGAAAGTCTCAAAACAAATCTGAGTCATTATTCTCATGAGGCCAAATATTTAAATATTATCCTGTTTTTACACAATGAAATATTATATACATATTTTTAATTCCAAGTTTCTAATTTGTGAAGTTTTATAAACAGTCCTCTATAAATATTCCAGACTTTTATTAATTAAAACAGTGAATTAACAGAAGATGGATCACAAGCCTAAATTCAAAAGCAATCCCTTTGGCTTGCGACTTTGTTTCTAACATTGGTTAATACTTTCAGAAGTCCCCCGGAATACACTTGAAATTCCTTCCCAGACCTTGGAAGAGTAAAATGTCCCATAAACAAGCTTTCATCATCATCATTATCCTCTTAGCATTTGAATCCCCACACTTTTAAATGATCAATACAATCTTTTCCTTTTTAATTCAGTAATATCTGAGGTTCTGCAGCCGTCTCTACTCCAGGACCAAAATCCCTGAAAATCTGTCTCTATACACCAGAAGTTTAGAGCTAAAATAATAAAGCTGGATTATATAATTCCTGTTTGTTTGTTTATTTATTTTTTGAGACAGACTCTCACTCTGTCATCCAGGCTATAGTACAGTGGTGCAATCTCAGATCACTGCAACCTCCACCTCCCAGGTTCAAGCGATTCTCCTGCCTCAGCCTCTCGAGTAGCTGGGACTACAGGCACCCAGCACCACACCTGGCTAATTTGTTTTGTATTTGTAGTAGAGATCAGGTTTCCCCGTGTTGGCCAGGCTGGTCTCGAACTTCTGGCCTCAATTGATCTGCCAACCTCAGCCTCAATGCATGTTATTTAAGGAGATATACTAACAATATGTGAGGCTCCCCACAAACTCATAAAATTAACCCAGAAAATAAAAGGTAAAAATCAGGTTCATTTCAGACAAGAGGCAACATAAAAGAACAGTACAGTGAGAAATACAACGGACCAGTGACAGAAGCCAGGAACCAGACTTAAAAATGCGTGTGATGTTCAAGTTCAAATACAATCCACATTAAAATGTCAACCGAATTTAAACAACCTCATGGAGAAAATTTATGTCCTCTGAATTTAGCCCTTTCTAAATGTTAAGAAAATAAAACCATAAGAGGCTAAAGTAGAGTTCTGGTCAGTAAATTAATTAATTTACATAGGCATCCCAGGAATTAATATTGTATAGAGATAGGAGAAAACACTAATTCAGTTGTATTAAAATCATCAAATCAGAAATACAGTGTAAACATTTTGCTCCAGTAGTTTCATTGGCCAAATGCATCTTTACCTTAGTAGAGTGTTAAAAATAGCGAAAAGCTACTTTGAAAGAGCACAGGTAAGGCTGTACGCAAACTTAAAAACAAAAGGTTGGCCCAACATGTTTCTCATAAGAAGGGCAGAGTGAATTCAGCACCTTGTAGGTAACACATTACATAATGAAAATAGTGTTTTTTACATTGTAATATTATCATTCATAAAACCCAAACCTTGCTGATGAATGTAAATAGTAACTACATCTGTGAATAGAAACTGCTTTATTTCTTCCTGTCTGATTTGTATGCACACTTTATTTCCCACCTTATTGCACTGGGTAAGACCCTCTTGTTCAAGGCAGGGAAGGAGCAGTGACAGCATTAGAGTTCTTTGAACAACTTTGTGAGACAGACTTCTTCAATTTATTGTGATATAGGATATCATAAAAACCTAAAGTGTTCAACGTAATGTACCTATGTTCAAATCAATGTATCTATTATGTTAATGTGTCTATGTTCAAATCAATCTATAGAAAGCACAAGCTTTTTTCTGTATTTATATTTTCGAAGCCACTTTAGCTTCATAGCAAAGTTAAGAGGAAGGTACAGAGAGCTCCCATACACCTCCTGCCCTGACACATGCATTTCAGTGTCTCCCACTGGAGTGCTACATGTGTTGTACCCAGTCATCCCATGTTGACACATCATTATCACCCAAAGTCCACAGTTTAAATTACAGTTCCTTATTAGTGAAAAGCATATACTATGATGGAGTACTGGTGCTGGCCAGTGGTTGCAGTGCTTCCCTAAGCTCTTTTCAACTTCCTATTTCTTCTTCTTTTCTTCTGAGACAGAGTCTTCCTCTGTCCCCCAGGCTGGAGTACAGTGGTGCAATCTTGGCTCACTGCAGCCTCCGTCTTCCAGGTTCAAGCAATTCTCCTGCCTCAGCCTCCTGTGTAGCTGAGACCACAGGCACACATCACCATGCCTGGTTAATTTTTTTCTTTTTTTTTTAAGTAGAGATGGGGTTTCACAGTATTGGTCAGCCCTGTCTCAGGTTCTCAATGTGTTGGGATTACAGGCATGAGCCACTGCACCCAGCCCTCTCAACTTCTTATTTCTCAAAGAATTACAAATATCTGAGTGATCAAAAAGATTACTGCTAAATATCGGCAAATGTTACATCTCCAATTAGGATCAATCACATTAATTTTTATTTATTCATTAGCTTATTTTCTTAACTGCCTAAGAAATTTTCTTCAGCCAAAACCAAAATTTATTCACAAAATATTTCATAAGCAAAAACACTGAACAAGGTATTCAATTTTTGACTTCTCAAAAAAAATTTAAAGAGGGAAAACAACAAGCAATTATTTCAATGTCTAAGTGATGAGAGAAAACTTGGCAGTGGGGGGAAGGCAATCTGTAAGAGGGATTTTAAGTTGGGCTTGAAAACATGACCCCATTTAATAATGACTCCCTACTGGTATAAAAAATACAACTGCAACATGAAGCTGGTTTAACTCACTGGAAAGCATTAATGATTGTGTTGAAAACATTTCTTAACATTCACAATTTTTGATAGGCAACATTACTGTTAATCATAACAGTAAATTTATTCCACATTTCTAAATAGCCAGCCTTATCCAAGCATACCGCCCACCAGAGCTTACCACCCACCATACTGTGAAGTTCAACTGCAGTTGTGGTACTAAGAATACCTGTGGGAATGTAACTGGAAAGGAAAAAGGCGGGGGGAGGCGGGCTAGGGGGGCTTCCATGTGGCAAAAGTCAACAATATTCTTTTGCATACAAAAGACTTCCTAGTAGGCCACTAACTGGTACCACGTAAAATAGGGGTCCTGGTACCAGTTTGTGGCCTACTAGGAACCAGGCCACACAGCAGGAGGTGAGTGGCGGGTGAGCCAGTGAAGGAAGCTTCATCTGTATTTACAGCTACTTCCCATTGCTTGAATTACCACCTGAGCTCCACCTCCTGTCAGATCAGCAGTGGCATTAGATTCTCATAGGCGCGTGAGCCCTATTGTGAACTGTGCATGCGAGGGATCTAGGTTGCACGTTCCTTATGAGAATCTAAAGCCTGATGATCTGTCACTGTCTCTCGTCACCTCCCAATGGCACTGTCTAATTGCAGAAAACAAGCTCAGGGCTCCCACTGATTTTACATTACGGTGAGCTGTATACTTATTTCATTATATATTATAATGTAATAATAATAGAAATAAAATGCACAATAAGTGTAATGTGCTTGAATCATTCTGAAACCATTCCTCCCTCACCCTCTCAATCCCCCAGTCCCTGGAAAAATGGTCTTTCACAAAACTGGTCCATGGTGCCAAAAAGGTTGGGGACTGCTCGTATAAAATACCACTTGATTAATTAAAAATCAAATCTGATAGTTAGAAACTTGTCCCGCAGATGTGAGCCACAGGAATGTAGCTGATTTCAAACAGTTCAAAAGTATGTTTTACATTCCACTTTACTGGATGATACTTTAGGAGTAAAGTTAGACATATCTTTACTTTAATCACTGAAAGTGATTGGGGTGTTTCTGCCACTGTCTCCTCCATCCACCTCTCACTCCACCGACTGTGGTAAAAAGTGTGGTTGTAGGTGTTTATGGAAGGTTATTTATTATGAGTTTTTTTTAAATTATTTACATTATTTATTATAAGAGTAACAAAAGTAATAATTATTAATTTGTTGCCAATTTAAGCTAACAAAATTATAAAAATCAAATTACAAAGATTTTTCTCATCAGATTTTATAGATCCTTTGCCTTAGTTGTTAGGGTAATTGGTTTTCTCAAACAACATTTATGAGAGTTTGCTAGTTTGTATGCTGTTATGGATTTTTCTAGAGAAAGAAGAAGAATATTTGTGATTCTTCCCCAACTAGACAGTGTAATATACTGGTTAAAAGCACAGAATTCAACAACTGGGTTTAAACCAATGTCCACCTTTTTACGAATTTATGACAAGGGGCAGGTTAATGTTTCTGCCACATGAAGACATTATGAATCATTTTTAACTACAAAAGTACCCGTGTAGTTAATGAAATAGTATAGCAATGAAGTTATTTCTAGGTTATACTGAACTTCAGGAGAAAAAATTGGGGATGTCAATGGTACAATTTTTAACAACAAAATAATAGGGTACTTACGTCCCAAGCATTTTCAAGTCAGAAAATAAAGAAGGTCTAGTCTTCTGAAGAGACCAGCTTGAACTGGCAAAATTTCAAGGCAATAATATCTGTTCCAAAATAAGCTATTCTTCTGTATTTCCAACACATCTCATAGCATCAAGAAATGCTTCCTATAATTCCATAAAGTTCTTTTAAAAATACAAACCTATTTAGTAGTTGTAGTCGTGCCTTAACAAAGCAATTTCCCACATATGGACTTTTTTAAGTGAGGTGAAATTGGCAAAATATACAATTAACCATTTTAAAGTGTGCAACTCAATGGCATTTTGTATCATGATGCTGTGCAACCAGCACCTCTTTCTAGTTTCAAAACGCTTTCATCACCCCAGAAAAACATCCTGTACCTGTTAAGTAATCACTCCCCATCCCTCTCTCCCCTCCATCCCTGGTAACTTCTACCTCGTTTTCTATTCTATGGCTTTACCTATTCTGGATATATTGTATGAAAGGAATTATACAACATGTGCCTTTTGTGTCTGGCTCTTTTCACTCAGTGTGTTCAAGGTTCATCCAAGTTATGCTTTTAATGAAGGCTAGTGAT